CCTGACGCCTTATATGTTATCGCTTATGCGTCTTTTTCCGTTTTTTTAAGGGTAGAATCACAGCACAAAACTCACACTTCACTGCCTACGTTAATCTCAATGTTCACCGATCTACGACACTAGAATTCGATTCGAGTTGTCAATCTGAAAAAGGTTAGGTAATCAAAAAGCGGTAATCTTATACAGTGATGGGAGAAAGTTCCGTAACATTCAAATATCTTGGAAAATAATGATTATGGAAGAAAATGTTTAATACAAAAGTTTTAGTATATTAAGTGGTATATTATATGGTTATATTAAAATGACCTTCATGTGACCTTGAAGGACACCGCAAAGGTCAATTTTGAAATCTTAAATAAAAACTCCTATTTTCTATTACATATTCTTAAAGCTGGTGTCAAGACGTTTCCGAAACACTATAATGAAGTTATTTTTCATTAAATACTTTTCGAGTTATGAGGCTTGAAAGTTACAGCATTTTGACACAAAATACAAAATATCTTGTAAAACATTCAATTTTCGGGAATCTTACCTTAATACTTTTATGCATAAAATAATGAGACGAATCAATTGATATAAAGAAAACACATTGTTGCTTTTAAGAAAAAATATGTAATTTGCAACATGCAGCTGCATATTTTTTTTACTTGTACAAAAAATACTTGTGCTTTGATACTTGAATACTTGTACTTTACTTGTACTTTAATCTTAACAAATGGACGGATTAAAATTATATTTGTATGTTATATGTGTGTCTACGCATGCACACAAAATTAAATTTGTTCTCTGTTCAAATTAAGCAAAAAAATGTCTTACTAGAAAATATTTATGTAAGAAATCTTTTGCTAAATTTGAAGAAACAGCAATTTTAATGTACGTATATTTTTTTGTGCTAGAAATATCTTCAGGAAATCCTACGAATAACTATTTATTATCGATCTGTATCGTTTGGATCATTTTGGATTATTTCATCAAAATGGGATGTCCTGCGGAGATCGTACATAAGATATCCACAGGACATGCTACACGGGATACCCTCAGGTAATCCTACGGATAACGTTTTGCTCTGGATCAAACTGGGACCATTTCGATCAAATTGGGATGTCCTGGGGAGATCTTTGCTATGTGGGTTATATATTCTTATTACTTATATATTCAGTATCACAATAATGTTTGTATCACAATAATAAATAAAAATTATTTAAATAAAACTTATTATAAATAAAACTCATTGTAAATAAAACTATTAAAAACAATGTGAGGTTAGAATTACAAATTTTATGACAAATCCTACTTCTTTATAATATCATTATTCTTAGATATTTTATTTTAGAAACCTTATACCAAATAATTGTACTTACTTTTATAGGCTTCACTCTGCTTTTATTAATACTATCAATTTGTAGTCGAATAAGGTGTAGTCAATAAAAGCTTTATTCCATAAATATGGTAAACACAAGATGCGTTTATGCATATACCGCCGCCATGTTTTTCCAAAACTAATCGAGTGGCCAGACTCTATATATAGGGACTCTATATTGCACGAGAACGTCTGTCTCATCTTCTTCTATTAATTGTTGGCTCCGGGAGGCTTTCTCTCTCCTTATGGCCATATGGGTCTTGCGCAGTGCAGGGTGCGGGAAATTTAAATGGATAGGTTGACGTCTATCTCATGTCCGTCTTTATTTTTAATATTCCCACCGTACACGATAGTAAATGTGGAAGAAAAACAAATGTCCCTCTCTACTATTGCCATCCTTGAACCGCAAATTACATATTGGTTCTTACGAGAAAGACACATTTCAGTATGTTATATAAGGTTTGTTCTGTATTGCTGCACTGAATTCACACTGCACTGAACTAAAGGTTTGTTCTTTTTAGCTGAACTAGTTCAGAAAGTGTACACTGATGCCCGATTCCACCAACGTAGATTAACTTTAATCTCGGTTATACTAC